CTCTGGTTCAATTTCTTATGCCTCATATGTTATGCGTTATGCAAGAGTCTGTGCTCCCCGCTTAAGGATTTGGAGCCAAAATGGCGTCGAAAAGTGTAAATAGTACTCATTTTCATAACGTATCTACACATTAAGTGTAATGTATTTAATCTATCTGTTGTGTAATGGTAGAATCTTCTGTTTAATAAAACGATATTAAACATTTGAAAATAATGCTAGGTTGTTGTGTGGACGGTTGTTTATAGCACGTATCCACTTTACTCTAAAAAAAGGAAAATATTAATATTACAAATCAAATACACATAGTAGTAGAAGCGTTGTTATGAAATCATATGTAAATAAGAAAAACCATCGTAAATAAAAACATTGATTAACATAATTTATGATTCTCTTTATTTATAAAACACATTCATACTCATATGCATGTTTTGAATGAACCGCATGTTGGAGCCAAAATGGCGGAATGATTGCGGTACTTTTAAATCTAATGACTTTAAGATTTATCATAGAGACGCAACCGATGTTACGCATTCTGATTTGCTGTTGCAATCTAACCAATTGCGTGACTTGGCAGCCATTTATAGTACATATTTCTATTTCATTTTATCTTATACGTTCTATCTCACATTGGTCGTGTTCAGCAGACTCAACTGTTGTGGAGCGGATCCGTGAGCACTCGCTGTTATTGGTGTATTCTTCTAGATCATCCATTGGAACATCATCCAATCAGCATTTTAGATCTGAAAGAATACATCAATAGCAACGAGCGCTCATTCAACTGTTGAGTCCGCTGAACGCAGTCGGTATTACAATCGCTCACTGAGCGGTCTTATGCTTCTAGATACACCCATTGTACGTGTATGCTTTTAGATCATCCAGTTAGATTTTAGATCTAGAAGAATACGTCAATAGCAGCGAGCAGTCATTCAATTGTTGAGACTACTGAACGCAGCAATTATTAAATGAAAAATCGAACTGCGCATATGCAGTCCGATTTTTCTCTAACAAGTAAACCTACCTTTGTGTGACTCGCCGATTTCTTTGACGAATGGGTGACGAAAATCTATTAACATTTTTATCTATAGTCTGATCTACCTTTCGTCACCCATTTGTCATAACAATTATTCCTTACGAGAAGGGTGGTTTACCTCCCGCAACAAGGGTGCATGGAAAGTCGGACATGTAAACTTTACTATCTAACATAAAAAACATTTTGTAATAGTTTCGTGTTGATCAGTACATTACTTTTATGTGAAACATCATGACGATGCCTAATACCCTCAACTTTGGGATTCGATTTCACCCCTTTAATGTTGACCATTGCCGATAAAAAAAATACGTATCTATTATTTTTGCCTACTCTACAAGTGTGCAAAGTTTCAATGAAATCGGCGAGTCACACAAAGGTAGGTTTACTTGTGAAGGTATCATTACATGGGAGCATCAGGCGTCGAGCATCTGTGCAGAAACTTATTGCACACAATTGTGAAATTTCTGATTCCAGCTTCTTTAAGCAAAATGGTAAATTAAGAGAGATTATGTTTTAATGTACACTACTATCCTGGGGCTCTATTCGCTCTATTCTTGAAAAGAAACATATACGAAAGTCTAGGGAAATACTATAATTACATATACTGTAGCATTTCCCTAGACTTTCGTATACGTTGCTTTTCAAGAATAGAGCCCTTGGAGAGACGCTATTAGCGCTATTTGTGTTTTCATCGTCTATTAAACGTGAAACAAGGGTAGTATGACACAAATTGAGTTGACAGCGCGCTTCCCGAACGCAACTCTAGAGTCCCGTACAGGGACTCTAGATGCTCCCATGTAAAGACACCTTATCGTGAGTTTAGCGTTCACCGTAGTACACACGGTACTACCAAAACTCTGTATTCCTGTATGCAATGTGCTGTGTACAATAATGTCCTGTGCGCAATACACCGTGTGCAATAATGTCGTGTATGCAATACGCTGTGGACAATAATGTCCTGTGCGCAATACGCCGTGTGCAATACGTTGTGTAAAATAACGTTCTTTGCGCAATATTGTCGTGTGTGCAATATTGTCGTGTGTGCAATATTGTCATGTGTGCAATATTGTCGTATGTGCAATGTACTGTGTGCAATAATGTCGTGTGTGCATTACGCTGTGGTCAATAATGTCCTGTGCACAATACACCGTGTGCAATACGTTGTGTACAATAACGTCCTGTGCCCAATATTGTCGTGTACAATATTGTCATGTGTGCAATATTGTCGTGTGTGCAATGCGCTGTGGACAATAATATTTTTTGCGCAATAAGCCATGTGCAATAATGTCGCATGTGCAATGTGCTGTGTACAATAATGTCGTGCGCGCAAAACGCCGTGTGCAATATTGTCGTGTGTGCAATACGCTATGTACAATAATGCCATGTGTGCAATGTGCTGTGTGCAATAATGTTGTGTGTGCAATACGCTGTGTACAATAATGTCCTGTGTGCAAAACGTTGTGTACAATAATGTCGTGTGTGCAATGCGCTGTGTACAATAATATCGTCTGTGCAATGCGCTGTGTGCAATAATGTCGTGTGTGCAATACGCTGTGTACAATAATGTCCTGTGTGCAATATGCTGTGTGCAATATTGCTGTGTGCAAACGAAGCTTTATGCAATCGTTTTGTGGTCAAACGGAGCCCTCTCTAAATAACATTGTAAAATTCGTCTTCCGTCCTATAAAGGTGCCTATTTAGCTGCCAACTACTATCTTAGCGGGTACGTGACTTTAATTCTTTTTATCTGATGGTCGTGTCCTCCCTTCGTGTAAATACTGTATAAGTACTACATGGGCTGAAAAGTCGCGGGATTTTTCAATAGGTGGCGCCACTGGAAAATGAACATGACTCATTTCGAGAGGCTCATCTGTCTCTAGTTTATGTATGAAGTTTCATGACATTTCGTCCATTCGTTTACAAGCTACAGTCGTTTGAGTGACGGTACTTTCGCCTTCGTAAAAAAAATGGAAAAACAAGAATATCGCATCTTGATCAAACATTGTTTTTTGATAGGAAAAACTTCTGAACAATCATTGCAATGGTTGCAGAAATGTTATCCCACATCTGCTCCTTCGAGAACAACAGTTTATCGGTGGTTTAGTGAATTAAAAATGGGTCGTTCAAGCACGGGGTGATCCCGATTGACCACGTCTCGATTGAACACCACCAATCACAGCGACCGGTGCTTAGGAGCTTTGTAGTCTTAAGCTGGATTTTCATCTGACGCTGAAAATGAGCGTCTAGCGTCAAATGAAAATCCAGCCTTAAGCGCTGTGAGTGGCTCGTATCCAATTGAGCCGTGTCCAATTGGATGCCACTCGGACACGAGCCACTCACAACGCTTGAGACTACAAAGCTCCTAAGCACCAGTCAATGTGATTGGTGGTGTCCAATCGAGCCGTGATCTGTCGGGATCACCCCAAAGAGGCTACGAATGCGCAAATCGTAAAGCAAGTGCATCGAATCGTTTTGAGTGATCATAAAGTGAAGTTGCGCGAGTTAGCTGAGGCCGTGGGCATCTCAAAAGAACGGGCGGGATACATTTTGCACGATCTTTTGGAGATGAAAAAGCTATCGGCGCGATGGGTGCCGCGTTTACTGACCGTCGACCAAAAACAGCAGCGCGTTGATAATTCAACGGCCGGTTTGGCGTTGTTGCAGCGTAATCGAGCGGACTTTTTTCGACGTTTTGTGACGATGAATGAAACGTGGGTCCATTACCATACGCCTGAGTCCAATAGGTAGTCTGCAGAGTGGCTGGAAAGCCACGAAAGCCGAGCAAAGCGGCCAAAAGACCAACGCTCGGCCGGAAAGGTTATGGCCTCCGTTTTTTGGGATGCGCATGGCATAATCTTCATCGATTACCTGCAGAAGGGAAGAACAGTTACGGGAGAGTATTATGCAGCGTTATTGGACAAACTGAACGACGAAATAAAGAAAAAACAGCCCCATATGGCGAAGAAAAAAGTTTTGTACCATCACGATAACGCACCGTCACACACGTCCTTGAAAGCGATGGCCAAATTGGACCAATTACGATTCGAATTGGTTGCTCACCCACATTATCACCGTATTCTCCAGACTTGGCTCCCAGCGACTATTATCTGTTCCCAAACCTCAAGCGGTGGCTCCAGAGAAAGAGATTCAGATCGAATGAGGAAGTCATCGCGGAAACCGAGGCGTATTTCGAAGGCTTGGACATTTCGTACTACAGAAAGGGCATCGAAATGTTGGAAAATCGCTATACTAAGTGTATCGCCCTCGAAGGTAACTATGTTGAGGAATAAATATAACTTTGCCCAAAAGACGCTTGTTTTCATTAAAAATCCCGGGACTTTTTAGCCCATGTAGTACACTAGCGATCAAGTTTCTGATCGAAGCATTCTTCGGTCGTTCGCACCTTTTTCGTTCTGAGAAGGCAAGATCGCATTTCCCATATAGGGTTTTACAATCTGCCTAGTATTGGGCCCAGAATGAGAAAGGTGCGAACGACCGAAGAATGCTTCGATCAGAAACCGATTGTCGTAATTTGGGTACTGACGTAGTATTGGCTAGAGTCCCTATACTAAGAGCCTGGCCAATGTTGATCTGAAAAAAAATGGCGACAATACTTATCGCAGCTAGAGAGGGACTCTAACTGCTGCAAGCTACGTATAAATATCGAGTGTTGCGAATTAAATAAATTAACGTGCCTCGATAAATTGATATAAAGCTTAATTGATATAAAGAGGTAAGGTTATATATTATAATTTTTTGATTGAAAAGAAATTGAAAGGAAAAGGTAAATGTAAAGGCATTATGAATTAGAAAAATGACATTCTAACCTTTTTAAAATAATTTTTTAAATAGTTTGATTTAATAGTTGAAAATTTATTGCTACAGAAAATGACTGGTTGTTGTATTGTTGTCTGTTACAATAGCAGTGAGAAAGGTTTCTCTATGGGACGTTTTCCATCCAATTTAGAACGACGAGCATTATGGTTGGAAAAAATTGGAAAAAAAAATTGGCAATTTTCTAAATATCACCATATTTGTGAAGTAAGTACAAAATGTAATTATTAATAAATGAAATAGGTGAAAATTACAAAAATGAACAAATTTGCTAGATATTGGTCAACGAAATTATAATTATTCTAATGAATTTATTCACTTTTATAGTTTTTACTTTATTTCGAGATACACAATCAACCCTCTGAAATATTTTGGATTTAGCAGTGTAAATAATTATGTTACTACGTTTAGGCTCACTTTTCAGAAGACATGTGGGAAAAACTTCGAATAGATGGAAAAAAGAAATTAAAATGTAATGCCGTACCAACTATTTTTCCAACAAATTACGAATGTCTCTTGAAAAGCCAAGAAGCCAAGAAAAACTCTAACAATGTATGTTTATTTGTTTTAAAAATTATTGTGCAGGTGTAGGTAATCTAAGAAAATTTATTTTTTGATAGATGGATCATTATCAAGAACAAAGTGAGACTTCAACGATCTCTAATGTACAACCTAATGAGACTTCAACAAACATTCAACCAATAGACAATTTACAATCTCTTAACAACAATTTGGAAGACACTCAACTAACTACAGTGAGGATTGAAAATCGAACCGATACCACAGCATCAAAACCGAATGTTAATCAACTAACATTAGAGTCTGCTTTATCACAGATACAAGATTTAGAAAAGAAACTTACAGAAGCAAACAAGATTATTTGTAAATTAATCTGTAATTTAATTAAATTTTTTACTCGAAAAATGGTTGATATACGATGTGACACATTACACAATTGCCATAATCTATTTAACAAAATAATGAAATATTTTATCCGATTTCGAGTTAGAATTTTATGCAAAAAAGAAGTATTAAAAAAACCAGTATTTAGCAGTAAGACCATGGCGATGCATTCCATTGTTAAATAATATTAATCAAAATGTATTAAAATTAATGATAAATCGTTCATTATTGTTTATTTTCTCATAATGTATTATTTTCTCATTTTTAATAATAATTCTGTTAAAACAAATATCTGTTTTTCTTTTTTCATTTCATATTTTGCGCGCGCTAATGATATCTAAAGTGGGGATATGACTGCATCCATTGGTTCCGCCATATTGCTTCAGAATCAATGAAAAATCGAACAAGATTGACCAGACTCTTAGTATGGGGACTCTAGTATTGGCAACCTACGGGCGCAGTACTGGCTAAATGTCGGATGATAACTTGGGCCCAATACTGGCAGATAATACTGGCCCAACTGCTGTTAGCCGGTACTGTACCAGTGTAGATATTGCGATCGACCCAGTACTGCACCAGTATTGGTAACCACATTTCGGACATTGGTGCAATATTGGCAATACTACGGGCGCCGTACTGGCTGACAGTACTTCGGTCGTCATTTGACAGCCTGTTTGCCAGTGATGGCCCAGCATTGGCTGACAGAACCTTGACCGTTAGTGGGCAGCCGTTGCGTTGGCCAACCGTTGGTTGTCGTCATAACGCCGGATTTGTGTATATAGTTAAATAGCCAGTCGTTTACCAGTGATGGCCCAGCACTGGTTGACAGTACTTCGGCCGTCATTTGACAGCCAGTCGTTTGCCAGTGATGGCCCAGCATTGGCTGACAGCAGGGAATGGAAAGTTATTTTTTAAAAGTAACAAGTTACAGTTACTCGTTACCGAGTAGAAAAAGTAACAAGTTACCGTTACTAGTTACCGATTTTTAAAAGTAACTCGTTACAGTTACCGTTACTTGAGAAAGTAACTTTTCGTTACTTTTCCGTTACTTTTTTTTTAATCGACGACCAACAATCATAGCGGATGAGCCTAAAGGCTTCTCTAATCTCAAGCGCATTGTAAAAAATTGTGTAAAATTATAACTATTATGCTGGATAATTTTGAGATCCACTATAATATTGTAAACGTCCACACATTTGTAAATTTGCAATATGCAAATAAAAATAATTTCTTGGTTTGGAACTAAGCAGATTGTGGAAGTACAATTACAATGTGTATATGTGTAGCTACAAGAACGATAATATGACAATATATTTCGCACTATATATTATTATACATTTAACAACAATACGCGAAAAATTTCTTTTATGTTACGTAATATTACACGTAATATTATTAAAATTTGGATAATTACAGAAAATATTCAAAATATTCTGCTATAATTTCCAATATAAAATAAGATATATTTACACAATAAAAACAAATTTACATAATTTTTGTGGAATTACTGTAATTTCTGTAAAATTGCATGATTTTTTATATTTACAGAACTAATCATGTAATCTATTTTATATTTATTATATGTGTAAATTTACGAAATTTTTTTACAGTGTAAGTGGCTTGTGTCGTATCGTGTCCAATCATGTGCAAAGTAACGATAAACGTAACTGTAAAATTCGTTACCGTTACCAAAAAAATGTAACTTCGTTACCGTTACAGTTACCAAAGAAAAAAAGTAACGCAGTTACTAGTAAAGTTACCAAAAAAGTAACTTGTAACTGTAACTTCGTTACAAGTAACGAGTTACTTCCATTCCCTGGCTGACAGAACCTTGGCCGTTAGTGGGCAGCCGTTGCGTTGACCAACTGTTGGTTTCGTTGTCACTACTGGCGACCCTATATGGGTTTTCATCAGTTCTTCTTTTTCATATTATATATTGTTCGTCATATTGTTGAATCAAATCATTATTATTACTATTAAGAAAAACCATAAAACATATATTACAGGCAATAGGAGCCAACGCTCATGGTTATTAATTAGCGCAATTCTTCCTAATATTAAAAATATAGGGGAAAGTGGGGGAACTGTGCGCAGCGGGTAATTGTGCGCATCCTGGTTTGGTACTTTTCCAATATATGAAGACATCACCGTGGCGAAATTTTTACGCAGGAAGTCGTCCTCTTAAGCTATAACTACAAAAGATACGACGTATGTACATACATCACTAGCCAGAGAAATACAAAAAAGTGAAATTACATCTTTTCTTGTTATTTTAGCATTCAGAAAATAAGGTGGTAAGTCCATATTTTTAATTTGTTTAAAATTGTTATTAAAGTACGTTATTATGTGCATCTTTTTTGAGCTGTTATTTATTAAGTTTGATTAGGAATTATTGAAGTAATCGTATTTCGTACCGAGTCAGGTCGTGGCGGACAACTGTGCGCAAGCATTTTAAAATGCGCACAATTATCCATCTTCCATATACTGTATGACTAGCACTAGTTTTTTCGTTTCTTTTTGGCATTACTATTTTATTTTGCCATTATATTTTGCCAAAGTCTATGTGCATTATTATTATATTAGTTTTGTATTTTTTCTTAATATATACAATGTACATTTAAAACATGTTTAATATTTATATTGCAATATAATGAATGTATGTTCTGATTTCTATGTCAACATTCCACAATTCATTCATTTCTTACGACTTTTGTTTTGCGCATAATTACCCGACGCGCGAGAAATTTTTTAGCTTTTCCGTTTTTTTCTTTTTGCCAAATACAACCTTATTGAATGAGAATCTGTTCAAAATAAGAATACGTAATGGTAGAAGAATGTTTATAGTTTCTATTTCCATATTTATATCGCTTTGATCTTAGAAAACCATCCCAAGAAAATAAATATCCCTTAGGTGCGCACAATTCGCCCACTTTCCCCTAAACCTTGACTTTCCACTCATAGTTCGAGTCTTCATCAGCAATCTTTCCCCCTAGCGCAATGATTGAAGTATTGCATGACAAAATGATATCTCCAACGTTTTTTCTCTCAAAAATTGAACCATTTACTGTTGTGAGGTAAGTCACATACTCACAAAGTTAGAAAGCTGAGTGGCAATGAGAACTCAAGCTAAAATTATATAAATGATTAAATTATCGTATGAATAATTTGAAAATTAATAATCACCAGGGAATGGAAGTAACTCGTTACTTGTAACGAAGTTACAGTTACAAGTTACTTTTTTGGTAACTTTACTAGTAACTGCGTTACTTTTTTTCTTTGGTAACTGTAACGGTAACGAAGTTACATTTCTTTGATAACGGTAACGAATTTTACAGTTACTTTTATCGTTACTTTGCACATGATTGGACACGATACGACACAAGCTATTTACACTGTAAAAAAATTTCGTAAATTTACACATATAATAAATGTAAAATAGATTACATGTGAAACGACCTTACTTTGCGCGGACGTAGCTCGTCGGTTACGGGCTGCGGCCAGGGTCGCAAAGAGGTTCGGCCAGGAGGAGAGAGACAAGGCGATAATATCGCAGTGAAATACGACTTGGATAGATGGAAAAGAAATATATATATTTGTGTCTGTATGTACAATGTGTGCGTGCGTGTATATGTATGTGTAGGTGTGTCGTGTGAGACCAGTTGTCGCGACTGGTAACAGCGATCGGCGGTGTATGCGTGTGTGTACAAAGCTGTTTCGTTGTGAGTGTACGGTGTATATGTGTAACGCGGGTGTGTATGTGCGGCGGGCACGATTCGTCGTGCGAGTCGTGGTCGCGTGCTTCGCTCGGTGACGCGCGGTGAGCGGGACGCGGGCTTACACCGGGAACACGTGCGATACGCGCGACGCGTTGTAACGCGAGGAGCGATACGTTGCCCCGAAAGGTGCGCTTTCTGCGTGCACGCGTGATACGGCACGACTTCGACTGTCGGAAGCGTCCGACGGAGGCGGGCAAATGCCTACCCCCTGGTTCTCGTCGAAGCCGGTCACGTATCACGGATGAGCGGAACTCTCGGCTCGTTCGCCTCGTTGCAAGGCTCTCGGAGCGGTCGCTGCAACTGGTCGGGAACGGCCGACAGAGGCAGGCAGGGCCTCGTAACTGCTGGTACCATCGTTAGTGGTGCCCTCACCTTATGTCACCCGGAAATAT